TGGTGTTACTATCATATCTATCTTGGGTATGATAATGCACACTGCTCTTACTGGCATTGTCTTTACCAAATTCACGCTAGACAGTAGGAATGTCATGCATTGATTGGGACGGGATGTGACTGTTCATCATCACCCTCAGACTCACGCAACGTCGCGTGTGCCTTCTCATCGCGCCTTCTTGCCATACCTCCGTCGAGCGGTGATTCGGCCGACTCTAGAGAGTACTATTGGGGGGCTTCGTACAGTGTGTACTAATGTGATATGCAAATACGAGAAATGCGTGTTGCCGAATCGATTCGAAGCTTCGCAGAGTTGAGGTTAGCATTGCTAGTAATCTATCCTGTGGAACTTCTGAAAGAGTTGTAGCGATGACTCGTCCATCCGGTCATTTCATATTCCGTAACAGCACGCAATTTTCACATTCACATATGCAACTGGTATAGACCATAATTACTGCGACAGCATTGCGGGTCGACTTAGGCAACATGCGGGTAAAGCAAGACTTCGGAAAGCAGAGGATCGTCCACTGCTGGACGAGCATCTTCGGTTGTGTTTCCGGTTTGTTGATGTAAGACGGGCGTTTCTGCTGTGACTTAGTCCTTCTCAGTGAGTGTCAGGTTTTCCACCGTAACTACTTCCATGTGAGAATGCGATTGTTCCTTGTAGAGCATGATACGACTCAAGACGGTTGGAGTTGTCCAACAGTGCAGGTGAGCTGTTCCTGCTTAGTAGCTTGGGGCGGGCTTTTGTGAATATGCTGATGTATGGGGTGTCTACATCTCAACTAAGGGAATTTCAGTGCAAAATGGTATAAAATATGGGCCACCAAGAGTGTTGATGATGAACGAGTTTGGATCGAGAGTACATTATACACTCGCAATCGAGAGACTCTCTGTTGCGGTACTGGCGGCCGCTATCTCAGGAGCTTCATTTCTTCGATACATCGATGCCCCTGGAGTTCATGAGCTTGCCGGTCGAAGTCTGCGCTTATATACCACTATACAAGTTAGCCGTTATTACCAATATGGATGCAGACATCGGAAGTAGTTGTTGCTCTGGCACCGAGAAAGAGGGTGGGGGTCTATCAATTGAGCCCGCCCAGCTTTATTCGTGAGAGTTCCTTCAGATGAACTCCCGCCGGGCCGCTGTCGATCTCACAGTGATGATAATCAGCATCGTCCTAGTGGGCTCTATGACAAGAGCAGTACCCTCACTTTTCGAGAGCGGGATTGGATTCGTCAATTCAGTCCGGGGTGAGCTTTAGTCGGCCAAGTCCTCCATCAGGCCACGTTCAGATTCGACAACCATTCCGAGATGTCGAAGCATCAGAAGCTACCACCAGTGCCCAAATCCATCAAATGGCCTCTACATAGTGCGACCGCCTCAGTGCGGGGTGGTCCGGAAGACAGGTTTGAGAAATTCCCTGTAGTCGAATGAATCCCCACGGTTCGCAGTAGATGTCTACGGCAAATGCAGTCCTCGACCTGGAATAGTAGCTTCGAGCTGGTCTGTACGATTGAGTTCACGGATGCCACTACTGGTAGTGAAGCCACGCATCTGAGCATAGACTGCAGCCCGCCGCTGGGGTTTAGGTAACGAGATCAACGCCAGAAAGTCCTGGCCGTTATCAGACGTTACGTGGCTACCGGCGGGAACAGAGAACTCATTGTGCTGGGCGCAAATTGTGAAGAGGATGGGGGATAATGGCTCCTACGATGTTGATGTGCGTGGGTCCTCATGAGCTAGATAATTACAAGTTTTTTCAAGTCAGGTTAGCAACCTGGATGCATTGACAGAAGACGCCTGTGAGCTCATTAAGATAAACCGCAGGGAGCTGGCCAGTGATACGAGAGTGAGTGTCGGGCTATGTGGATGGTTCGACGACGATTTATATCGTTTTGCTAAGGCCCTTGGGAAACAGCAGGATGCAAACAGCGGCGTTAGTACGGATGCTCCAGATGTGGATGATGAGAGGTTGGATGCCAGTGTGGAGTGTATCATGCAGGGATTATTGGTCGTAGGTTGCGTGGAAGTGATACTCTTTCTGACTGGGGTATTAAGTTTCGAAGCAGTGACGGGTCATCAGATAACATCGACGTCCCTGTTGGGAATTCGAGGTGAGTCTATACGCGTACCAAAATGTCCAGCAGTTTTGGCATAGGATCTTCGCTGGCCACGCCGATGGTGGCATCAGGACTTCTCAGCGTCGACCTGCTAGTCATGAGTCTCCCGTTACCAGCAACACCAAAAAAATAATTCATTCGTGGCGTGCTCGATGGCTTGAGCTTCGGTCAAGACTGGTCGATAGCGTGATGTGAATTGAATATATACTTATCTTTATTAAACTCAGCACGTTCTTCCTCGTTGTTTATATCCTTACATCGATAATTATCCCCATCATACACAGCAATTGCTGGTCCGGTCGAGTATTATGTCCTTTGACTATGCCGCAGTTTCATTCTCCTTCTCAAGCAGATATGCACTCTCCTTGTCAATGTGCACCTTATTGTCTCGGTTTTCGACCTCGTAGTCTTTCCAGAACACGACGCTGTTGTGTTGGTCAATTACACACTGTCATTTACGGTCTGATCAAATTGTATTGGTGAGGCTTATCAGCTATCACGACTTACTGACATATCACAGAGCATTTTTACTCGATGCAGCCACGACCGGACATACCGGAACTCCGACCGAGCACCTCCGTATCCGAACGAGCGTCCGACGTCACTCCATCGATCCCGTTGCAGATTGACCACGACACACATCTCGGATCGAAAGACCCTCCAGTGTCGAACGGACTCGCTGGAGAACTCGATTGTGTCACGATGGCTGACCCCCATAATGAGTGGGACCAACGTACGATGCTCCAGACTATACCCGCTGCCTTAGGACACGATCAGCGTTTCGCCGTTCCACTGTGGGGAGTTATTCTTCTCGAAGACCTTCGCTCATATTGGACCCTGCTGCTTCTGGAGGTTTCATTAACGCAGTCAATGAAACCAGTAGGGACAACCCATCTTTTTAACTTACTCTCATGCTGATCCCATCAGGTGACAAAAACAACAATATTAGAGAAACCTACAACGAGTAAAAGCTTTGAACATTCATTGTTGCTCTTTGACTCTCGATTTCAGATTGTTCTCCTCGGCAACGGGAAAGTCCATCGTCTCCAAACAAGGAGTGTATAATGTCGATTTGAGACTGTCAGCAGCAGCCAGGCTTTGGCTCACTTGGAAGTTCGATCTCTTTCCCGCTCTAATTCGAATGCCATGGCGAAGACTCTGGTTTTGTGAGTTCATACCTTGGACTTACAGTCCGGAGCACTTCTTTTGCTTATCAGATTGCATCTGCTGCTATATGTTGCTCATCTGCATCTTTGCCACCGCGCTCTATCTCACCGATCCGGACATGTCGTGCGTTGAGGAAGCGCATGGATGGTTTGACGCTTTCTTCTTTACTGTTGAGGTACGGTGTAGTCGCTGTCTCTTCGTCCTGTTGCAGACTCTATTTTTCAGACTATTTTCACTATTGGGTACGGTATCATGCATCCTATATGCTTTTCTACACATTCTTGGGTCACTTGCATGGCTATCACCGGAGTTATGTGTCACACTGGTCTCAGCGGCGTAGTTTTCGCCAAATTTACACTTGGGAATCGGCACGAACTCTCCTGTGCATTCTCAACAGTGCTCTACGCCATTCCCTGTGTTGAATATCATCACAACCGTCACCACTACCACCGTCACCGCCAGAGGCATCGA